TTTTATCATCAAACCTACGAGTTTCATAAAAAAAAACCTATAATTTGATGGGATAGTTCAAGGTTTTATTATATAATCGATCAAGATGATTAATAAAACAGGATTATCATGTAATTAAGTTATATATATATATATATATGAGTTTGTTTTTGATATATTGACAGTTTAATTTTTATAATTTTATAAATAAGATTAAGAGATTGCCGTATATCTCATTTTTTTAATTTTTTTATTATATCCTAAAGATATATGTCACTCTATTAATGCTGACAGTGAAGTTTAAAATTCGTAGATGAATTTGATAATTTCTTTATATATTATTAGTCTATTTACACCAATTAAGGGTTTGTTCAAGTCCTAAGATGCCTATGTTTGATGCTATAATGTTAATTAATTAGATAAGAACTCGAAATATTAAAGATCAACAACTAACCATTTGATAATTTGGTGGAATAGTTAGGCTTTGTTGTATAAATCAATAAATAAAACATGATTATAAAAAAAATATAAAATAGTTTGCTATTATTTTACATTAATTAAGGATTAGTTCGGGTCCTAAGATGCTTGACTTTGTTTGATACTAATCATATCATTTTAGAATTCAATAATTCCATGGTGTTGATATTGACATTCCCTATTTGGACCACAAAAAACCATGGGATTATGATTAAGACGGGACCTATTTCCACTGCTATGGCTTCTTACACTCTGGTTTTTGAGAAGCATGCAATTTTAAATGCATTCTTGGTTGAGAAAAGAAAAGTCATGCAACATCCAGGAGATTTTGCCTGTGTTTCTTGATACAAGCCAGGCCATGTTGACCCTGCTTCAAACCAGCTTAGAATCGATTTTTTGCGCCATCCAAAGATGGTTAGGGCCTGAAATGAGTCATCAGAAGATTCAGGACAATGGGCTGAAGGAGCCAGCTGAAGCAAGCAAACAGGTTGAGTTCTGGTCTAGCCCAACAAGCAAGCAGTTACATTTGAGATTGAGGAGAATTGATCCAGAAAAAAATAAATAAAAAAAAGCACCAAATGATTTCTGATATCACCCCTGGATGTGACTTGAAGCACGATTGGTGAGGATATTTTTGGAGGCTTTCGCTTTTGGAGAACCAGATGGTGATATAGAGTTGCATTTTCAATCGTGACATGTTTTAGAAAAAGGCTGCAAATTGAGTTGATGAGACGGAAGAAAAGGTTTCCTACTTGATTTAGCCACCTTACCTACTTTTCTCTCACATGCCAATTTTTTCATCCTATAATTTGGCTTTGATTTGTTATTTGCCTTGTCCTTAACCCAGAGATGTTCATGGTTCGACCGAATTTATATTTGTATTAATAATTTATATATTTATTTAAATATGATTTGATTTAATATTTTAAATTTTAAAATTATTTTAAAAGAGATTCAAATTAAAAAAATAAATTTTAAATTCATTCATTAAAATTAATTCATATAATAAAAATTAATTTTTTAAAAGATAAAATATAAAAAAATAAAAATTTACATATATATATATATTTATATAATTATAATATTTTAATTATACATAATTTATTTGAATCAAATTCATAATTTAATTTTTTTTTAAGATCATACTCTAAATTTAAACGAATTTAAAAATTATATATAAATCTATTAAACAAATTTTAATTTATTATCTAAACTCTCTTAAAATTTAAACAAATTTTCAAACTTAAGTAAATGGTTCAACCTTTGAACATATTTATCTTAAACACTGCTCAAAATCTTAAAAATTGTACATCAATCTTAAGGTAAATATTTAATAATTTTGAAATTTAAATTTCAACAATTTTTTACTTTTAAATTACAATTAAAAACAATCTTTGAATGCTCTTTGACATATTGACAGGAAAAAAAAAAAAGGAAAAACAAATAGTTGGTGCCATGCATCCTTGGAATGGAAGATCAGTTCCATTTATGCACATGAATCCATTAATTTTTTTTTATTTTAAACATAATATAAAAGGAAACAAAACCTATAAATGAAAAAAAGCATGCAAAATGGGCAAACCTACAAGAAGTAGGAGGTATTTTTACTACAATGGTTAAGTTCATGCCACCTATTATAAATGTACAAGTCTAATCTCAATCTGGAAAATGCTGTAAGTAACCTTTGAAGGACTATGCTATATATTTTATATTTACACAATAATTTTTAAGTCGAAATTAACAAGTTGTATAAAAAAATATAATGACAACGAATGTAATTTTCGTGAAGGGACAAAATCAATTATTTTTTTGCCTCCATATAATAATCCCAAAACCTAATATAAAAGAAAACAAAACCTACAAATTGAATAAAAGCATGTCAAATGAGCAAACCTACAAAAAAATAATAGCTGATCTGATCTGATCCATGAACACGCTAAGATATATATGTTTATCCTTATGATTAAGATTTAACCATTACGACAATTCAGGTTTATCTTAACTGGTGTTATTCTCTTGGACCCAATCTAATTCTAACCCTCCTACTTCTAAAATTGCAATATGAATCCTCCCATTTCCCAGGCTTTGTTCTTTAGCCATGGATGACATTGAAAACAAAAAAACTTTAGTGACAAATGATAATGCTGTATCAGATGACACAATGAGAAAAGGGCATTGTAATGGTAACTCCAGGAATAATGAGGAAACCTAACATTTTTCCCTGGAAGAAAGATTGATTGTTTTTTTGGAATTTGGATACAAAGATAAAAATGGTGAAAACCAAAGGAATGGTAGCCAAGTTTTCTGAACTTTCCTGATGGCATTCATACAATATTGGGGCCTAGCAATTTATTATGGGCTTCCAATTTTATCAGAACTAAATACATATATATATATATATTTATGTATCTATCGATATCTATCTTCAATGCTCAAAAATAACGATGGCTGAATTGATTATGGACCGTTGGGAATCTAACTTTTTTTTTTTTTAACATTCAACTATGACCACGAAACTTCCTACAACTTGTTAATATAGTTTATAGTTCATTTAATTGAAAAGAGCAGATGAGGCATATTTTCCTCCATATATGTACTTGTTCCTCTAAAACACAATGATTTCACATGCAAATCAACCTACCACTCAATTTTTTCATTGGATTGATGTTAACTTGTTAAGTATTAACTTGTTTGGTTGATAATTTGACTGATATTACTTAAACCATTTTGATTAATTTTTTTTTTTGAAATTTTTTATAAAAAAATCATAATTTTAAAAAAATTATATGAATTAATTAAATTAAATTATCAAAAATTTATTTTTTCACAAATAAGAAGAAGAATTATAAGGATATACATTGCCAACAAAGAAGGTTTTTTTTTTTTTTTTTTTGCCCACTTATGAGATTCTCATATGCTAAATTTGTACAAAAATTCAATATATATAAAGTACAACCCACTCAAAAACTTAATGCTGAAAATATGGCTTTGGCAACAAAATCTAGTTCATTTACTCATTGGAGTAAAATACTTCAGGCAACAAACAAATGCATAAAAAGTACTAATGGAAACCAAAAAATTATGTAGGCATCCTGAGAAAATTAAGAGGCTGCCAATGGCACATGCAAATTGTCAGTGAATTAAAAGGGCTTCTCTGCAAATGATTCCCAAAGTTTTTTTTTTTTTTTCTTTCTTTTTTTCATGGAATTTCAGAATCACATGATAAAACCATTTCACAGATCACCAGAAATGGATGCAGAAATAAACTATACAATCAGTTATTATAGTTTAAAAGAAAAGGAAAAATTTATATAAGTGAAATTCGTGAAATTTTTTATTAAAAAAGTATATAAAAATTTAAATCGAAAATCAAAATTAAAAGATTAAAATATTTCTTAGCATAGATAAAGCATACAAAATTTGAAAATTTTTTGATATATTTATTAAATAGATATTTTTAATAAAAGTATTAATATAATTTCTATTATTGAATAAATATTAATCAAATTTGAATTATAATAATATTTTTTATATATTATTGATCTTCACATTAAATTCTATCAATATATCAATTTAAATTTTTTTATTAAAATTTTTATTTATTTATTTTTAATAAAAAACTTAACGAACTTCGCCTATAAAATTTTATGTAAATTTTATAAAAAAAATGAAAGAGCCAATAAAATTATGACAAGTAGATTAACTTCTTTTCACTACCTTGTCAAACTTTGTATAAATTCTCAAAAGGTAAATTTATTTGTTTTCATTGTTTCTGAAATTGTGACATGGAAAAAAACTAACTTCCTATTTTGCAACCACAGTTACAGTGCTTCCATCTTCAAACTTCACTTTCATTTTTATGGCAAAATGGCAACTTTTATTACATTTTAAAAGCTATAGTTCATTTCATTCATTTGGTGAAATTTTCTTTTTAAAAGTTAATTACAAGTTTCCTGTGTTATCAAAAAAATATACTTATTAATAAGAAATTAAGTTTCATCAAAAGTAATTTTGACTTAGATTATTTTAGATTATTTTTATTAATTTTAATCTTAATTTTTTTGTCCCAAATTATTTGAATAATATTGGTTTTCTCGAAATTTAAAACAATTTAACTTTAACTGATTTAATATTAAATTTTAAATTATTTTTATAAAATTAAATTTTCATGATTTTTAATAATAAAAAATAAATAAATATTAAAAATAAAAATATTAAATATTAAAAATTTTTTAAAAACATCTTTAAAAAATAACAAAAAAAAGTAGCAAGTGAGTATATAATTTTTATATTTTTTTGCCCTAACTTGAGAATTTTTATAAATCTATCTGTAGTCTAGTTTTTTTTTTTTTTTCATGCTAAAAAAATTTCTTATTTGAAAAAAGGAACATTATTGTAATAAAATCAAAATAAAATATTTATTTTTTAGCTGAAAAAACTCTTGTGGTTTGACCAATGGTCCAAGTAACACATGCATTCACTTTCTCTCTCTTTCTATATATTCACTCATTCAAACACTCACTTTGTGCTGCTTTGCCCTTTACCTTTTTTTTTTTCCTTTCTTTTCTTCAGCTTAGTTCTCGAACTGATAAACTCGAAAACGGACATTGTCAGATTTTCGAGAACTTAAAAAAGAGGAAGAGAGAGAAGAAAAAAAGGGCCTTTAGATCTCTCATTTCTTCTTTCACCCTCAGATCTTCCCTCTCTCTTTTTCTTTCTTTCAATCGCTATTCTCACTCAAAGGCTTTAACTCAATTCCCTTGTGTCTACTCAATCTAACTCAAACTCATTGAAGCTTTTCCTCCCTTTCTCTCCTTTTTTTTCCATTTAACAACTTGGGTTATCTTTGGTTTTTGAGTTTATAATGGCTGAACCAACAGAAACAAAGGCAGTCCCAGAAGCAGAAAAGAAGAAAGAACAAAGCTTGCCATTTTACCAACTTTTCACTTTTGCTGACAAATATGATTATTTGTTGATGATCTCTGGTAGCTTGGGAGCTATTATCCATGGTTCCTCAATGCCTGTTTTCTTCTTGTTATTTGGTGAAATGGTTAATGGCTTTGGCAAAAACCAATCTGATTTGCCTAAAATGACTCATGAAGTTGCCAAGGTTCTTTCCTTTTTCCTTTTTTTCATAAAAAATATATCAAAAACCAAAACTTTTCCTGTTCTCTGTTTTATTTTTACCAACTTTTCTTGTTTTCAGATCTAAGATCTGTTTTTTTTTTTTTTATTGTTTTAATGCAGTATGCACTCTATTTTGTGTATCTTGGTCTTATTGTCTGCCTATCATCTTATGCAGGTACATTTCTTTTCCTTTTTCTTATTTGCTTTTTTGGGATTAATGGTTAAGGACTTAAGGCCTTTTTCTTTTAAATGTATACAATCTTTGAAAGGAACCGTTCAGGCAACGTTGCAGTTGTTGCACCATAGTTTCAGTCATAAGTGACTTGTGTATAGTGTAGCCAGTTCAATCAAAACGGACCGGTGGGTGCGTTCCCACGTGGTCTTAAGGGCTTTCTCTTTGTTCTTTTGTTTCTTCACTTCTCAATCTAAGTACCCTTCTAATAAAATTCTCTCTTTCATTTTTCTTTTTTAAATTTTATTCAACATTATCTTCCACTATAGTCCCATGTGTTTCATTACATTGATTCTTACTGCGCTGGGTAGCTGTTAAGTTTATCCGTTGAAAAAAGGTTTAATTGTAGCATTTTTTTTCTTTTTCCTGTTGCCAGAGATTGCATGTTGGATGTACACAGGGGAAAGACAAGTAAGCACATTCAGAAAAAAGTATTTGGAAGCAGTTTTGAAGCAAGATGTTGGATTCTTTGACACTGATGCAAGAACTGGGGATATTGTTTTTAGTGTCTCAACTGATACTCTACTTGTCCAAGATGCAATCAGTGAGAAGGTTGGTTCTTTTGCTTGTTTTTTTGCCCCTTAATTTTATCTTTGTATTTCTGGAATTTCTTTTGCTTGTTTTCTGTTTTGTGGGTGTAATCTGATGCTGGCCATGGCGTTAGTTCTCAATTTTCTAATCTGGTTTTGTTGGTTATACATAAATGCGGGTCCCTACCTTATTATTTGGGGTTTGAATCTTTGACTGTGCACGTTAGCATATCTGTGTTATCGTGCACCTGCATCTCTGTTTTGACGTTTGCCATTTGGTTTCTTAAGTGATCAATGGAATTTATTAACAGTTTGAATGAAATGAAAGGAATCATCATTCATTGATTTTTTGGGTGAAATTTTAGGTTGGGAACTTTATCCATTATTTGTCAACTTTCCTGGCTGGTTTGGTGGTTGGTTTTGTATCAGCATGGAGGTTAGCCCTGCTAAGTGTGGCAGTGATCCCTGGAATTGCATTTGCGGGTGGTTTATATGCGTATACTTTGACAGGCCTCACTTCCAAAAGCCGGGAATCCTATGCAAATGCTGGCATTATTGCCGAGCAGGTGAGCTATTTTCGCCTAAGAAAGCATGGAATAACTTTTAATTATGTCTAAGCGGCAAATCTTTTTGCCAGATTGTGGACTATCTATATGTTTGGTAGTAATTAAGTCTTTTTACACTGTCTTCTAGTGTGCAACATTCAAGGGAGCTGCTTTTCATTGAACTTTATCACTATCACTTTTCCAAATTCCTGCTGGAATTTCAAATTTGATTTTTAATCCTGTTATCAGAAATTATCCCATATTACAATTTAAGAACTTTATATTTGAGAGATTTCAGGTTATTAACCTGATCTTTACTGCCTGGTTATCTAAGTCTTTTATCATCCGGACAGGCCATTGCACAAGTTCGGACCGTTTACTCGTATGTTGGTGAGAGCGAGGCCCTTAATTCCTACTCAGATGCGATACAGAATACGCTAAAACTTGGGTACAAGGCTGGGATGGCCAAGGGTTTGGGGCTAGGGTGTACATATGGCATAGCTTGCATGTCTTGGGCCCTTGTTTTTTGGTACGCTGGTGTTTTTATCAGGAATGGACAGACTGATGGAGGCAAGGCATTCACGGCAATTTTCTCTGCCATTGTTGGTGGCATGTAAGATCTTAAGCTCATGTATCATATCAATTGTGATTAAAGATGAACTAATCTTTACTGCAATTATATTGTATTAAATTTACTATTGCAGGAGTTTGGGTCAGTCATTTTCCAATCTTGGGGCATTTAGTAAAGGAAAAGCAGCTGGTTACAAGTTGATGGAGATTATCAAGCAAAGGCCCTCCATAATCCAAGACCATTCAGATGGAAAAGTACTGCCTGAGGTTAATGGCAATATAGAATTCAAGGATGTGACTTTCAGCTACCCATCAAGACCAGATGTTATCATCTTTCGCAATTTTGCAATTTTCTTTCCAGCAGGAAAGACCATTGCAGTTGTTGGTGGTAGCGGTTCAGGGAAGAGTACTGTTGTCTCTCTGATAGAGAGGTTCTATGATCCTAACCAGGGTAATCAAGAGACTTTTGTTATTTTTTAAGAATGAAATTCTTTGCCCCTCGGAAAATAGAGCTGACATTTCTTTTTGGTTAAGCAGGACAGATTTTGTTGGATAATGTGGACATAAAGACACTGCAACTAAAATGGTTACGTGATCAGATTGGTCTGGTGAATCAAGAACCTGCTCTCTTTGCAACTACCATTGTTGAGAACATACTCTATGGAAAGCCTGATGCAACAATGGATGAAGTGGAAGCTGCTGCTTCTGCAGCAAATGCTCACAGCTTTATTACCCTACTTCCTAATGGTTATAGCACTCAGGTTGGTCTCTTCGAATTTAATATTCTAGTTCAAATTTAATTCTTTGCTCCTTATTTGTATCACAAAATGTTGTTTTTTTGTGCACTTAAATGCAAATTAAGGTGGGAGAGCGAGGAGTCCAACTCTCTGGTGGCCAAAAACAGAGAATTGCAATTGCTAGAGCCATGTTGAAGAACCCTAAGATCTTGCTTCTTGATGAAGCAACAAGTGCGCTTGATGCAGGCTCTGAGAGTATTGTTCAGGAAGCTCTTGATCGCCTCATGGTTGGCAGAACAACTGTAGTTGTTGCACATCGCCTTTCCACCATAAAGAATGTTGATTCAATAGCTGTTATACAGCAAGGGCGAGTTGTTGAGACAGGAACTCACGAAGAATTGATTGCTAAGGCAGGGGCATATGCTTCATTAATCAGATTCCAAGAAATGGTGGGAAATAGAGACTTTGCTAACCCATCAACTCACCGTTCACGCTCATCACGTCTAAGTCATTCACTGTCAACTAAGTCCTTAAGTCTCCGGTCTGGCAGCTTGCGGAACTTGAGCTATTCTTACAGTACTGGTGCTGATGGCCGCATAGAGATGGTCTCAAATGCAGAGACAGACCGTAAAAATCCTGCTCCTGATGGCTATTTCTGCCGGCTTCTCAAGCTAAATGCTCCTGAATGGCCCTATTCAATCATGGGAGCCGTTGGTTCTGTGCTTTCTGGTTTTATTGGACCAACTTTTGCCATTGTGATGAGCAATATGATTGAGGTCTTCTACTATACAAATCCGACCTCCATGGAAAGAAAGACGAAAGAATATGTTTTCATATACATTGGAGCTGGTCTATATGCTGTCATTGCTTATTTGATTCAGCATTATTTCTTCAGCATAATGGGAGAAAACCTCACAACAAGAGTGAGGAGGATGATGCTTGGAGGTACTAATTTGCAACTACAAGTTGCTTTTTCTTTTTCTAATATGGATGGGAGGGAAAGTAGGGAGGAGATTCTGTGATATGTATACATTGCCTAGCAATTTGATTGTATGTTTGTTAATTTTCTACTGTTTTCTTGTCTTCAGCAATTCTGAGGAATGAAGTCGGATGGTTCGATGAGGAAGAGCACAATTCAAGCCTTCTTGCAGCCAGACTGGCAACTGATGCTGCCGATGTAAAATCTGCCATAGCGGAGAGAATCTCAGTGATACTGCAAAATATGACTTCACTTCTCACCTCATTCATCGTTGCATTCATAGTAGAATGGAGGGTCTCCCTTCTCATCCTTGGTACCTTCCCCCTTCTGGTCCTTGCAAACTTTGCTCAGGTAAGCTCGCCCTTTTCACCATTTTTTTTTTTAACTTCTCTCTCTCTCTCACTTCTTTCTAACCAATTATCAAAGCTATAATTTCACCATTTTGTCGACTAATGTGATCAGCGGTCCAAGTTCACAGTTCAAAGACCCCAAAACCATGCCGCTTAAAAAAAAAAAGCTTGCATTTTCCAGGATGAATTTTGAAGTATTTAAGTCCAGTAGGGGCATATAGGTAACTCGATATTATAAAAATCTTTCACTACGGTGTCAGATTTTTTATTCTTCTTTTGATCTCTGGAATCTAACTTCACTTTAACTTTCCATCAAACGACAAAAAAAGAAAATCCAACGGGCTCCTTACCATTGCTTTGCAGGAGCTTCCTCCAAGTTTGGTCTGGTGCATCGACTTCTAGAAATTAACACAAAAAACCAAATATCATATGACCCTGATGAAATAACAGTGAACAATAAAATATCCAAGATTCCATGGCCACCCCATCAGCTTCCTTACCACTGAGAAAGTGTTCTTGTTAGTAGCTTATTTCTCGAGGTTATAACCTACTATATTTCTTTTTTTTTTCCTTGGTTTTCTTCCCTTAACTCAAATTTTCAACTTGTCTAGTTTCTCACACTTCTTTTATAATGCACCGACACTGCACCTTCCAGTGTATATGAGTTTTCCGTCTAATTTTAGAAAACCAAGTTATAGGGCTTCTGTTTTTTCCTAGGAACATGAGCTTTGATATCTATCTCTCTATCTACCAGATGCCACCAAACCATATGATAGTTTCAAGAGAATCTTGTCCCGTGATCTTCTAATCCATGATCTTATGTATTTTGAAGATATCATCGTCGTCTTCTTCTTCTCCTCTGTTCCTTTGTTTTTATTTACCTGGAGAGTGTCATGTTACGACAGGAAACAGTGTCATGGCAGTGCCTAAGAGATAGAAAGTGCCCATGGTAATAACATGTGTAGGGTGTGCATTATTCACACAGTAAAATCCTTTGTGCATTATTGTCATTCAAAGGTTTAGGCCTCAGTTTATGGGGGGTTTAGAATCCGGGTTTGTTTTTTCAAACAGAGGCCAACCGACTGCTGGTTGTCTGTATGTGTTGGACAGTGCTCTAAGTTGGCACATGCTCTATAAATAGTGAAATAGGACTACACTTGCAATGTGTACAATGATCATAATCTTGTCCTTGTGAAAGGAACTTTATTTGCCTGGTCCTAGCAATGAAGTTAAACCTGATTTGGCTTAATGTTAATTGGTCCCACCTCATTGAAGCCAAGGGCCAAGTCAGTGTTAACTGTTTGGAATTTGGACAAAAAAAAAGGAAAAAAGAATTTGAATTCTCCTTACCTTAATGGAGATCAGATCAAGCTCTGAAATTCAATATCACATGTGCACGCTTTGGGTAATGGCCAGACATCAGATGGTCTCCAATTTCTATGCTCTGAATTGAAAACAACGGAAAAAAAAAGAAAAAGAAACAAAAAACTTTTATGTGTTTTAAGTTTTAACAATCTAACTTGTGTATTATATTTAACCCGTTTTACTCAAAATAGTTTTGTTGCCGTAGTAATTCTGTTAGTTTTTTATGACTTTTACCTTTTATATCTTTCTCTCAAATATTCAACTAAATAATTGACCCAAGATGTTGGTAATTTAATTGTTCTAATGCTGCTATTATTGGAAACTGATCTTACCCTTTTTGAGTTGAACTCCTTTTTTGCAGTCTTAAGTCATAAAATCAACTTTTATATGAAATGTCTTAGCTTCCTTGTCAATTTGATATATACAGTTTCCAGGCAATTAATTCTGTTTTATTTTGTACTGCAGCAACTCTCTCTCAAAGGGTTTGCTGGTGACACAGCTAAGGCACATGCAAAGACTAGCATGATTGCTGGTGAAGGTGTAAGCAATATCAGAACAGTTGCAGCCTTCAATGCGCAAAACAAGATCCTTTCACTGTTTTGCCATGAGCTCCGAGTTCCCCAAATGCAAAGCCTTCGCCGCAGCCAAACTTCTGGCCTCCTCTTCGGCCTATCTCAACTTGCTCTCTATGCTTCTGAAGCTCTCATACTTTGGTACGGTGCCCACCTTGTTAGCAAAGGTGTCTCCACATTCTCTAAGGTGATCAAGGTTTTTGTGGTATTGGTGGTCACAGCAAATTCTGTTGCAGAAACTGTTAGTCTTGCTCCTGAGATTATTAGGGGTGGTGAAGCTGTTGGTTCAGTGTTCTCTATTTTAGATCGTTCTACAAAGATCGACCCAAATGATCCAGAGGCAGAGCCAGTTGAAACAATTCGTGGAGAAATTGAACTTAGGCATGTAGATTTTGCATATCCGTCACGACCTGATACCAGTGTGTTTAGAGACCTTAACCTTCGAATCCGTGCTGGCCAAAGCCAAGCACTTGTTGGGGCTAGTGGCTCTGGCAAGAGTTCAATCATTGCATTGATTGAGCGATTCTATGATCCTACCGCTGGAAAGGTTATGATCGACGGGAAAGATATCCGGAGATTGAACTTGAAGTCTCTTAGGCTTAAAATTGGATTGGTGCAACAAGAGCCAGCCCTCTTTGCTGCCAGCATTTTTGATAATATTGCTTATGGAAAAGAAGAGGCAACTGAAGCTGAAGTAATAGAAGCAGCCCAGGCAGCTAATGTGCATGGTTTTGTTAGTGCATTGCCTGATGGGTACAAAACACCAGTTGGTGAGAGAGGAGTTCAGCTCTCTGGGGGTCAGAAACAAAGAATTGCAATAGCAAGGGCGGTGCTTAAGGACCCAACAATATTATTACTGGATGAGGCCACCAGTGCCCTTGATGCAGAGTCAGAGTGTGTGCTACAAAAAGCACTTGAAAGGTTAATGAGGGGCCGCACCACGGTGCTTGTGGCTCACCGTCTCTCGACAATAAGCAATGTTGACAGTATTGGAGTAGTCCAAGATGGGCGCATCGTAGAACAATGGCAGCCACACCGAGTTGATTAGCCGAGCTGAAGGACCTATTCTAGGCTCTTGCAACTACAACACCATCATATATGAGAGTCTTTTATTGAAGCAACATGGCTTTGTTGGGGGGTAATTATGTTTTGAACCATTAACCTTGTGTTTCCATCTTTCTTTTTGGATGATGATGTCTGTAGATATGGAATGTGGAGAACTGTATCTTAAGAACTACTGCCCCGTTGGAAAATGGGGTAGAAAATGTTAAATTATTGATATCTATGGTGCATAAGCTAAAGCCCCTTGACTATCCAGTTGGTCCAGGTGATTGATTGGCTTTACTTCTTTTGTAATTGAATTTTATAATACTAATAAGTGCAAACCTAGACACTACCTTTCAACCCTTGTGAAAACCTTTTTCTTGATTTGACTTTCATTTGCATGTGTTTACTGAAGGGTTCTTTTCGGTTCTAGATAAGGGCATTTCTTTTTAATGGCTTCCAGGCCCACATGGTTTAGCTCTAACAAGATAACTGCTTATCTCTTTCTAACAAAATGCACAGACATATTCATTCATGCAGATGGTAATGAAATTATTGTAAAAGTAAATATCTTAGAATGTAAAGTAGAAGTTAATGCTGCAAAAAAGGATGTCATGACCCACTATTGCATAAAGGGCCAATTTTTGAGCAATTTTTGGAGTGCACCTGTAAATGTAGGTACCCTTTTCTTTACACTTGAATTCAGTGTGTTTTTTACAAGGCTCCATCCCATACTTTTCGAAAAAAGAAAATGAAGCATGGGCAGCTTCTCTATCATCAGAATGATTGTAAGAGTTCACTGAAAGGTGCATTTCTGTCCTTGGTCCGTCACAAGGTGAAAAAACAAGTGGACTCCAAGCCAGTTGGCCCTATGCAAGTTTTACAGCTCACTGGTATTTTTTGCCATTGAGATTGTAGGGGTGGAGAAAAGATAGTAAAGGGCATGGCAGATGACAGAAATAGAGGAATGGGGGTTCTCACTCTCAGATTGAGGGAAAAAAAAATCAACCCCCACAGAAATGGTGGGTCATAGACTGATGCTGATTTAAAGACACTACGCAGAGATGATGCATCACTTCAACATTTCGTATGGTTCCATTGCATTTTACATCCCTGCAATTTTGCCTGGCAACAGGTTTTCTTGATTATAAAGCCATAATAAATTTTTCGGGCCCCCAAAACATTACATATAATGCATCTCAAGCAAGATTATGTTAATCACACAAGCCTCTTTATAGAATAATTTCCCACTCCACAGCTATTTTTTGTTTACAAAAGTAAGAAACCAACTGATAAAAAGAGAGGTAAATATCAGTTGGAAAGTTATTTCTCTGTGAAGTGATCTGTAGACAAAGCTTTCAACCAAAATAAAGATTTCACTACATTGTTTTTGCAAGTATACTTTCGTTGCCATACATGTGTATTGTAGTTACAGAAAGGTACATCTAAATCAGGTGTAAAACATTCACTCCAGAAATTGGAAGCTGACATTATCACATGGTTATCAAACCCAAGTGATAAATGGAGAAACACGAGATTGGAATTACTGCAGTGTAATTTCCGTTAGATTCTTGAGGGGTCCCTTTGTGACTTTACCCGTTTCCTGTATCTACTCAAAATCTGATGTAATAGTCTACAAATGTTGACTACTTGCTAGTCATAGTAGGGTCTGTATCTGAAAGCTTCAGCTCCTTATTATTTCAGTTCAGGCCCCGGTACCATCTTTGTTTCTTTTGGTGGGGATTGATAGTATCCTCCCAAGGTCATTGATTGGATGCCTCAAGCTGCAGATTTAATCATACAAACTATTCTTGGTTCCTGTATGGTGGGCCTGCTGTCTTTTAACTCACTTCGAAACATCCATCAGATTTTCTTTTCCATTTGTCTTGAACAGATTTCTTCACTATTTTCACTCATTTCGCCTGATGGATCTGCCTGAAATGAATTTTTATTTGAATTGAAGCACACATCAAGATACAGATGAATCATTTCAATTATGATTTCAAATTGAAGTGGAGCATCGGTTTAGTCCCCTTTTAATATTTAAAGCAACAATATATGAAACCTGAGATAAATATCAATAAAGCTAGGCATGCTGATAAGTTTTATAACACTGAAATCTAGCAATAATGAAAGCAATCATGTAAATTTTTTGTTATAATTGATGTCTAGTCTTTGAAATAAAATTAAACCCATATCTCATCTTAAGGATTAGCACTGAAAGATCATGGACGGTAGAGTGACTAGAAATAATGATTGAGATGTTTTGAGCCTTTAAGGATATCCAAGGGCCATGCTTCTCTGTTTTCTGATAAAAACTGTGGAAGATAATGTTAGGGATAAGTAATCCAATAAAATCTTTCAATAATTTCAAGAAGGATTTGATGTTCATATTTCATAGAAAAAGAGTTCATGTAAAGATAAAGAAAACCATGTTTTATCAATCAAGCCAAGACTTTTATGCCCAATTTTGGCTGAATTTTTTTTGTCAGCATTATTTGGTGAACAGCCCATTGATGCTGGTTGTCTCTCTTTATATTTAGTTATCTAAAGAAAAAAAAATCAAGAAAAAGGAAAATAAAACAGAAGAAAACCATGAAAATGTGTGGGGTTTTAATGTTGTTAATTTTGAGCCTTGTCCAAATCTTGTTTGGCCTGATAGTGATGGATCTGACTCTGGAGCTGGAGCATCTAATTGGACCAAAGCAGCCCAATATAGAATCCTCTTTTTTTTTTTTTTTCTATGGCTTTATTCATTTTGTAGATTCTCTTTACTTATGTTTTTGTCCCCAAAAGAAATATTTCTGCCTTCCACTTTTCTTAATGATTTTGTTATTCAATCTTGTAAAACCATACTTTTACATATCATCTTCAATTTAATGAATTTTTGTTTGCATTTCTAACATAGTTTTTTTCCTCTATACTTACAATAAAACTACTAAAAAAAGATCATATTGGGCCTTTTCCAAACCAATCAATGAATGTGGGTTTCCAACTGATAGTGACCAGTGAGTCTTTTTGTTATATAGGCTAAACCAAGCATTCATGGGACCCAAACTCAGCATTGGGATAGCCATGGGTTAGCCCACTGTGAAGTTTCTCAAAACTAAGGCCTGGGCAAATTGGATAAAGACATAGTTTTTGGTGTTGCTTTTTCACAAGCTCTGAGGTAGATGAACTTCAAGCCAACCCCAGATTTCCATTCCGAGTGCACAGTCATTTTCTTTTTGATGTTTGGGAATAGGTTTGGTAACGTTTGATTAGAAAAATGGATTGCTTGCTTGCGTTTGAAAAGATGAATTGTCCCAATCGTGTTACCAATAAACAAAAGAGTGAAGAAAGTTTTTTGCTGAAACATTGGAGTGAAACGTGGTATGGTTGCTTTGTTTCTTTAGTAGCTCCTAACATCATATGCTTCCAAGTTCCAACCTATATGCCTCCCCCCGCCCTTCACTTCCATGATTATTTGACCTGATTTTTCTTGGCCTTCTTCCCTTTCGGCTTTCACGGCCAATCATGTTGTCTGCCTTCAGCCTTCACCGACATAAATAAGACAGAGAAATTAGAAGCTCAAAATACAACTAAAAAAGTCTTGAAATTTGTTCGTACTTGAATTTCGTCTAATTTTATATTAATTATTATTATTTTTTCTTGATTGTAATAATTATGTCATATATTTTGAAATTAAATTTTATTTTGCAATGCTTTAAAAACATAATCATTGACACCGTGAAATTATTTAACGGTAACGATTTATACATCATATCTATTTTATTTATACACAAAGATTTAAACTCAAATTAAAAATTTCGAGTGCAAATGTAAATATATATATAGATGGGATTTAAGGAGTGAAAGAATGTTATTTCTCATTATTTAAATCCAATATATAAAACACACAAAAGAAATTAAATTTTAGAATAATAGAAATTGGTATAAGCATAGTCAACATAAACGAAATTAAATTTCTTTTTTTATTTTATTTGGAGTCAAGATTGTGAGTAAATGATTATTATTTTTTATTAATCTTTTTATTTTTTACTAACTATTTTAATTTATAAATTTTTGTGTATCATTTCTAAGCGAAAACTAAAATTTGAATTTCTTCAAACAATATAATTTTTTTTTTTTGTATTTAAGATTGTCAAAAATCAAACTTTAATTATTAAAAAAATAAAAACTTTACCAACAATCGGCATAACTCTTCTGTTACTAAACTGTAAATTGGTTAACTTTGGATCCCTAATTTTAGTATGTCATGGGTAAAATATATGGAACAAGACAATTTCCTCGGTACTTAAAGGCACATGAACAACGGTCGGTGCATTGGTAAAAATTAATATTGACAATAGGGCTTCACCTAAGTGTCCTTTTTCTTTTTCTATATTTTCTTTTTCTTGTAAACTAAAAAAAAAAAAATATAAATATATTTAATTCCTTCTATACCTACTTTTTTATAAAAAAATATATATATATTTTGGCGGGTAAAGTGATTAAGGAAATTAAAACTAAATACTATGGAATTTATTAAAGAAATTAAAACCAACTTATAATTAATTCTTTTAATTTACCAAAAAAAAAAAAACTAACTCTTACATATAGTGTTTGGTATGGGATTATTACTCTAAACATTATGGTGATTTACATATGGTGATTAGATCATGATATTTGATAAATATTTAATTATTTTATGTAGTAGTGATTTTGAATTACGAAGAGTAGTCAAATCATTATATTAGAGGGTGATCTAATTCTCATTCAAAAAGATGAAAAATTTTTATCATCAAGATAAAATGATATATAGAATTAATAATAATCAATATTACTTATTTAATATGTGAATTAAAATTTTGATTTCTCTTAAAATTGTATATTATAAGTTTTATATTTTCAAACTAATATTCATTATAACAAATTAAAAATAATTTGTATATCTTTTTATATTTTCTAATATTTTATATATAATATAATGTCTTTCTTTTGTTATTATGATTTTAATATATT